GAGGGACAGGGAGCAGCGTAACCCATCGCTCCTCTGGCAGTGCTGCTCGCCCATGGCCTGGGCTGTATGATGGCCACCCTCTGCATTTGGGCATGGTGTCCTCACCAACGGGGCATAAACAAGCAATGGCATTTACTGCATGTTGTTGCTTTTCTCCAATAGAGGAGAAAATGTTAAATAACTGAGAAGAAAATAGCATGACCACTGCAGCGAGGATTTTTTTTTTTTTTTGGAAAACAGGTGTTGTACAGCACTAAGCGGGTTGTGGGGGGAAAAAATCCTGCTAAAGCATGAAGTAACTCACTCATCTACTGCGGGTGAGCCGGGCTGCTCAGTCACCGCCGTGCTGGTGCGCAGGGCTCAGGTGCCTCAGCCGCAAAGCCATATATAAATAGTTAAACAGACAGGAATAAAACAGTGGGGTTTCTTTACAGTTATTATTAAATTCTTGATTTCTTTACAACAGACTAGTCTGGGCATCCGCATGTAAAAACTAACGGCTGTGATCATTGCCACCCTCGTCCTTCCCCAAAACTGCATTTTTGTGCCTGCCCTCGCCGGGCGTCGCAGCCTCCGTGGGGTGGAGGGCTCTGCACGGCCGAGCAGCGCCGAAGCGATGCTGCTTCCCAGGAACCAGAAGGAGCCGTTTCCACAAGAACCCAGCCGCTGTTTATGACAAGACGCGAGACTTCCCTACCGTACTGCGGGCTCAGGCGGCTCGACAGCGAGCGCTTCCTCTGCGTGCCGAGAGGGAAAAGCCTGCTGGATAAATATTGCACTGTGTTTTACAGTGCAACTGCTTGTCTTCCTCTGGTGGCTGTTAGGACATATACAGCATATGTCACCCTCATTCTTAGCTATAAATAATAACAGAATGCTTTCAGTTGCCTATAAAAATAAATACACAGTCCTCTATAAAGACTCTTCCAGGCTTCAAACACTGCAATATGAGAGCATCTCATGCTGCTTTTATTTCCCCTTCCCTTGCTTTCAGTGGCCCTCAATTCCAGCACTGTGCTCCGGGAACGTGGTTGGCCGCCGAAAAACAGAGACATTTCACTTGCCGCCGACAACCTTCCAGTCGCCTCCACGTTACTTTTAACCTCGGGACCCTTCGGCTCGCTGGCTCAGTCCCATCCTCACACCTTGCCCAGTAAATGCCGGTTGCGTACTGCAAGGTACGCAGCCAAGTACCAAGGACTCCAGGGCACAGCCAGGGCTACTACACTGCTAGGTGTTGTGAAAACACACAGCAAACCACCATTTTTTTCTTTTAAAACAGACCCAGTTTGAGTCCCAAGGACACCGTTGCATTGGGCCTGTTTGTAGACGTCTGTCAGGGTTCGTGCTCAACCCTTTAATCTGCAGGTGGTTTACTAGTTTTTTGTTTTTTTTATCCCCAAACCTCTTGTTTCCAGAAAAATATGATTCATAGGTTCATATATGAGTTTATGGCCAGAAAGCACTTTTGCTTGACCTCCTGTAAACCACAAGCTCTCTTGGTCTTGAACCCAGGAGCCATGTTTGTGTACAGCGCAGCTCCTGTGTGTGCCCACTCAGTCTCGAGGTCAAAGCGTTGAAAAGAAGAAAACTGAAACACCTAGCCTGTGCTGTAGAAAGCAGGTGGTGCCCGTGGGATGGTGGCCACCAGGCAGGCTCAGTGCCTTGCGTCATGGGTACTGCTGCCCACTTTCCTCACCCAGCTACAAGCTCACTTTGGGGCCCGGCCGCAGCAAAAGTCCAAGAACCGGTGTTTTTAACTCCTCCCTTGGGCCTGCTCTTCCTCCAGCTGTTTATTGCTGCTTCTTATGGTGAAAGATGGTCCCTCCGTCTTATTCAGCTCTTCTCTCATCCCTTCCGCCGTTGCCCTGAATTGGATTAACTCTACCTCACTAAGTTCCCCGCAGTCTATTAGAAACAACCCAACAACTCTTGAGTAACATCTAATTTGATTCCCGCCACTCGGACTGCATTAACTAGCTGTTCAAGGCCACTCTGAGTCACTTCTTATTACCTCAGGCCTCGAGGAAGCAGCGGAAAATTGTGTTGTGTAACACGGGCCCTGAGAGCAGAGGCATAAAGTTGTTGTGCATTTTGAACTGTTTCCACTTGATCAGCACAAAGGACCCTTTTCCAATTTTTAAAGGGGAAACACAAAAGGGAAAATCAGAGGAGGGAAAATAATGGTTTCTGAAATCCTGAGAGCATCGACACCTTGACACAGGCCGAGTCCCCAGGCACTGTACAGAAAAAAAGCTTATTGAACATGCTGAAGACACAATAGGCCCGTTTCAACTCTTATACTTTACTGTCCTTCTTATACACAGTGAAAGAGCTCCTAGCATCCCAGTGACAAAGACAACACATGGGCTTGGTATCAGATAGTATTTGGGATGAAAATGCTTTGTGCCATTTATAATGTTGAAAGTCAGTGCCTCAAAAAACACTAACATCTCCCAGCCAATGGAGACGTATTTGTGGACACGTATTATATGTGGACACGTATTTGAATATGTGGACACGTATTTGAATAATTCCCAAATAAAGCTGATAAAACAAAGCCGTACTCGGCACAAGGATGACTCTGCTCAGAGTCAGGTTTGAACTCTTTTTGCTGCAAAGATGCATTTGGGAAGTTGCACTGATTATGATTAAAGAAAAAAACCCCTTTAATAACCTCCATTCTTACATGTACAGTTGGAGTTACATATTTTATGAGTGCATCTATTATAGATACCATCTGTATAAATACACATATTTATAAAGAGAAATAGCGAGTACATTTAGCTATCTGTTTATCTGGATGTCGCGCGTGTGTGTTTGTGTGGGAGCATGGAAGAATTATGCAGTGAGAGTAAGGTGCAGTTATAGAAAGCAACAGCCTTGGTTTATTTTAGTTGCAAATTCCCAGCACAAAAAACTGCAAACGAAGAGGTGTAATAAAGCAATATGAAAGCAGGCAGTGATTAACAACCCAGAAGCTTCTTTTATCATTATCAACTATTTACAAAGAGGCATTTATATGTTTCCTCATCTCTGGGGAGCTGGCACTTAGCATTAAAAATACATGAATAACGAATGAAGCCGGGCGTACCTTATGGCCTTTTAATAATGCAAAAATCTTAGGATTCAGGATATGATACAGGTAAACAAAGGAAAAAAAAGAAGGGTGGGCAGAAAATAGTTTAGCCTGTGTGTGAAATCCTTATGTGAAAGACAAATCATAGGGCGGGGTTTTACAGTTGAACTGTAAACACTGGCTTGTTGTCAAGCTCTTCTAATCAGAAAAATTATCTTGGGAATAGAAACTGTACTAAGCAGCACAGCAATGAAGGGTCTATCCACTGCTATTATGGCAATCCTGCTGCAGCTAGATGATTAAAGAAAGAGAAAAAGCAAGCGAGAGAGCAACAGCTACCTTAAGGGCATCCTGTGTGTCATCGAGGCAGTAGACCCGGATGCTGTACTCCAGTGATGAGCAGGACAGCGGTCCAAAGATGGCCAGTTTGAGACGTTTTGCGGCTGCTTTGGTGATGGACTGTCCCACCAAGGCATACGTGCTGAGGGTTTCTGTCAGGATATGGCAGGCCTCCGGGTCCAGCTGGATGTAGCACGGAGTGGTGAAGTTTTCCTCTCCGACTATCACCACATCCTAAGGGAGAAAGAGGCCAAGTTAGGGCTCCCGGCCCCCCAGCATCATTCTCCTGCTTCCTCTGCTCAGCCCAGGCCTGGCCTCAGCCCGCTTTGAGACAGCAATAACCTCTTCAAGCCTGGCCATGCTCAAAGTCCTTGCTGTCTGCACCTTAGGTTAATCAAGATTTAAAATCCCTGCTTCCAGCTTTTCTCCCGCATGGGCACAGGGAGGGGATGATTTCTTGGTAGGTGGTGGTGGTAGCAGCAGTGGTAGAAACCTCTTCCTCTCCTGTTTCAGACCTGCAACTGAGCCCTGTAGCCACCTTTAAACCATGGGCAGAGTTAGGCAAATAATGGAAAATATCACCAATAGCCTGTGGAAAAAGAGGCTTGCAGAACTCATCATTTGATGGCCAGTAGTTAACACCAGGAGTCTTGTGCACGTTGCGCGATTAACTGCCCTTCACTTCTTAAGCATGACAATAAGGAGTTACAGAAACTCAAGGAGGAGAAGTAACCTCTATGATGGCCGAACGCCACATCTACATGAAATATCACAGGCTGCTTCATCGGAATAATTCTCCGTGACGAGACTGCAGGGCAGGCGAAAAAAATACACACAGCCTGACTGCAAACAACCTCCTCCCTGTGCTCAGAAGAAAACAGCTCCCCTGCTAATTTCCCCAGTCAACCCTGCATGTAATATCCTCTGCACATCACAAGGTGCTTTGAATGGTTTAGAGAGAGCAGAGAAACACAAAGGCAGCAGCTGATTACGGCTGTCTCTCGCAAAGCCAGGTAGGCGCCACGTGAGGCCCAGCACAACTCATCTGTTTCATCCTTGCTGCCTCAAAGTGTGGAGCAGAGCGGACACATCTGGCGGACGAGCAGCAGGGCTTAGCTGCAATTTGGCGTTGCGCTCTGGACCCCCAGTCCGGGAAATGCAAACACGCTGCGTTTGGGGAGCTGACACAGTCTTTCCGCAGGGTAGAAAACAAGGTGCTGCAACACCCACTACCTCCAGCTCCGGCTGTGTCGGCAATGGCTTGCCCAGGGCAATGCCAGCTCCCGGTGCAGGCTGCATGTGTGTGCGTGCGTGTGTGTGTGTGCGCGCGGCCTGGGACCTTGTGCACCGCTGGAGCACCTGCTCGGTCAAGGGTAGGAGGAGAAAACATCAGTAACGAACGGGCACAAATAAGGACCACGTGTGCAGCGTCGAGAGCTAGGCCAGTGGGGTGCATATTAGTTGGCTAGACAGGGCTGGGCTGTGCCTGCCCCTTCGCAGCACAAGCAAGGGCGCGTGCCATGGGCCGCGGGACAAAACCAGGATCCTTTCAAAGGCAGCGCTGGAAAGGACGCTTTCGCTGCTGTCAGCCCAAGCGCTTCGCCGGTCACCCTGCCCTCATTAACCCTACCGGCAGGAAGAAGGTGCCCTTGCCAAATTAATTATATCAGACAAAAGTGGTGGCAGTAGCTACTTAGGAGCAAAAAAAGAGTTTCACAGGAGCTGGCACTGGAGAGAAGGGCTCTGCCAGGACAGCTGAGCCCTGCAGAAAGTGTCCTTCTATGCCCCGGTTACAACAGACGATCCTTCTGCCACGTCGGCCCAGGACCTCAGCTCCTGCCGTCTTCCTGGCAAGCAGCTACCCCAGCAGCCCAAGCAGCCTCTGCGAGCCTTTCCACTGAGGTAAAAGGGTGCAAAGGTGGATCCTGACGGCACAAACTGGAGCAAAGAGATGCTCTGCCAACATCTTAGGAGGGAAAAAAATAAAGAAAAAAAGAAGGTCTATACTGCTTATTAAGCTGGCCCAAAGAGTCTTGATGCTGAAGCTGGGGATCATTTGCAGCATTATTATCACTTTCTTGAAAACTCATTATAAACATGGGAAGTCCAAACTACTCCGTAAAAAACAGTTTCTTTTTTTTCTAGAATTGAATCAGAACCTGGTTTTCAGGCAGTGTTTTTCATTTTGACTTTCCTTTTCCTTCTCTCCCCATCATTTTGGCACAACGTCCTGCCAAGAGCAAAAGCTCAAGTACCAGAATCCCACAAGAAAGGCTATGTTTCATGAAACTGAGCCGGAAGTGTCCCAAAAAAAGCCTGTCTGCATGAAATGCTGGAAAGGAGAAAGGTGAGAACAACACCCCCCGCTCACCCTGCTCTGGTTTTACCTCAGCTGACTGTGGATATGCTTTGCAATCAGGGGGAAGCGCTCTAAAAGCTAGCGGTACTCCCCACTCCACAGACAGGATGCAGCACAGACAGGCAGAAGAGTGGAAATAAAAATAAAATAAAGCCCTGAGATGCAACCAACAATTGTTCATGGGCACCGGGCAGTTTAGAAATCTTAGGCAAACATATTTACCTTGTACATAAGACCAGGCTGATGATAAAATACTCTGTGGAAGGATACATTAGCAAACCAAAACCAGGCAGAAATCCGGTAAAACGGACGCACTTCTGAGCAAATCAAGCCAGCCACACTGAGCTGTGCGACTGCTTTCACTTTGCCTCACAGAAAAGTCCACTAAAACTGGTCGAGATCCCTCAATTGTGATCTCTGGTGATCAGAAAGGCCTGGGTGGCAAATCACGCCTGCCAGGCAATGATTCCCACCGCTCGAACCCTGGCGCCGTAGCGCGCTGCGGAGCTCCTACAGTAGCCAGCATCTCGCACAGACAATCCCCAATACCGGTGTCAGGGTTTGGAAAGGCAGCCCAAAGACAAACCCAGAGCCCGGCACGTGACCGCCTCGAGCGCTGCAGACTCACCTCCCACGGCCCCTGGGCTGCTTGGTGCTTCAGCTGGATCTGCCAGTCCTCTGTATTCGGCTCGGCGCAGTGGTGCATGGTTAAGATGACTGGCCGGGTTAGCAGTGCTCCTGGTGGCCCGCAGCTCACCACTGGGGTCAGAAGGGTTTGGCTGTCTTCTATGGGCGGCCTGGCAAAATGAGGGAAAGGGGGATTTGTTAAAGGAGCTGAAAAAGGACTGCATGCAGCCATGTGTAAAACGTACACAAAGAAAAAGTCCTTCTCTTAAAAAAAAAAAAGATATAGCAAACAAAGAATGGGTATTTTTCAGTTTTTTTCAAATCCCCAAACATTTTTGGTCAAAAAGCACCCATTTGTTAAAATGCAGGTTTAGGCCACAGCATGTTACGGATCACATTTGCTGGGCACCCTCCACCCCGAAGGATCCCCAAAGCCTTGCAGACGATATGCAGAGGCTTCCTTTCACTCACTGCTGAACTGCAGCCACCGCTGCATTTGGCACTTGTTAGCAGCATACAAAAACGAACAGTGCCTCTTGTAAGCATCATGTGCGAGAGTTATTTACTGCCTAGACAGGAAGACCTGAAGAACGCAAGAAGCAAATGAACCGATGAGCACATCTGAAATCTCCTAAGTGAAACGCTGGTAGACAGCCTGTTTCAGAAGCGCAGTTGGGTTTCAGGGTCCTCACCCAACCCAGTGATACTCCTCTTACTTAAAAGGCATTCAACTCTACGAGAAGGACGACTGCAAACATGTCTGTTGCGAGCAGGTGTAAGTGGCAGGTGGGGGGGAAAGCATGAGGGGCTAGGGCAGAGGGTAAAACACACTTGCAGAGCTAGAGGCTTCCAAGGATAAAGAGGAGCGGGTCAATTAAAAATACAGATATTGTACAGTGCACTTGCTGCCAATCACTAGAAACAGATGATATGGAAAATCATATTTTTATAGATAGATAGATAGATAGATATATGTATAAAATATGTTGTATATGCTGTAGCTTGTAAATAATTTTACGTGTGTGCATGCACGCGTGTGTGTGTAAATTGACCCAGACCAGCTACAGAGGAGTTTAAAAAGACAGGACACACGAGTGACTTTAACTATCCTAACATCTGGTGTATGACAAATACAGCTGAACGCAGCTAATCAACTAACTCCCTAAACTATGCAGAGGACAAATTCATGATCCAGAAACCAGCAAACGGGAGATTAAATGTGTTCAGCGTGATCTACCAACTTAGGCTCTAGATCAGCCCACAGGACCTTGCATCTTCCACTTCAGCTAAGGATTCGGTCCAACTTGTATTTATAAATTTTTGCATTTATATCTGGATTGATATTAGTGGGGTTAGTCAAGACAAGAGTAAATACCGTTAAAGTCTGCAAGCCTTTGCCTCCTCTACCAAAAGAAAAAGCAAACAAAAGGGCAGAAGCTGTGCTGATATGCAATTTGTTGCACCTATTCTGTCTACTGCAAAGATACGTCTACCAGCATATCCTAATTTTGCCTACCTTACTGCTCCCTGAATAATCCACTAATCCTGCAGAAAATGAAAGACACACTTTTAAGAAAACCCTTTTGAAAGTGGGATGGAGGCACTTTTAAAAACTTTTAAAAAATTGTATCTTGTTGATACAATTTTTTTTTTTGTAGCAACAGAATTAAAAAAAAAAAAGGCTGGCATGGAAAAGTCGAAATCTATGTAAATCAGTAAATCCAGATGATGCGCATCTGTGGATCCTAAAGGAAATTAACTGATGAGCTTACAAAATGACTTAACAATTGTTTCTGAAAAGCCATAGACTGGAAACAAACAGCTGCGGTAGCTGCCTTTCAAAAAAAAGTAAAATATAACAATCTGGACAGCTATCATGTACTAGGCTAGTTGTTCTGGCCTAACAAATAGTACCTAAAAAAAAGAAGCATTAGCAGATGGAGTACCCAGTTCAGCTCCTGTCACCTGCTGTAGGAGTCTCTGGATTATTTTCAGATCAGGGATCATCCTCTTTTAAGACAGAACTGAATAAATCACTGGGCAAACTTTTGAATAAAATGTTGCTTCTTTTTCAGGCTCTTTAGCATTTTCATAAGAAAAAACAAATAGCTTAAAAACTGCTCACAGAGTGGTGTATTCCAATGCTCCACTACCTTGTACATTAGCAGACATTTGAATACTGTCCTACGGTCTAATTTAGAAAAAAACATGCCTTAGGAGAAAGACTGTTGAACATCACAATATTTGTCTTGAAAGTTACAGTCTATGACAAGCTATAGACTTAATCATCTGGTTAGCCTAACTTCATCTAAAGCACTACTGACCCATGAAGAAGGAAGGAAAAATATACAGCCATGTGATAGCTTTTTGAACTGAATTACAAAACCAGCAGGCAAAAAGAATACAGTAGGGAATGTATCATGATTGCTGCAGATATTTTCCTACAGTGCCTTTTACATGAAAAATGAGTTAAAATCGATAAGAATCTGAGCACTGATGCATGCAGTTAAAAAAAGCCAAAGGTCATTAAAATAATAGAGCACTGACAAATCATAAGGCCTAAAATTGTCTCAAAGTAAAATTAAATTTAGTCACTGCTCTGTGACAAAATTTTGTTAGCTGTTAGATTTTAGGACTCTGATGGAGGACATCATTCTGCGCTGCAACATTTTATATCCGATTAGCACAAATATAAAAGATGACGCAGCATACAAATGCAGGAGGCACACCAGACCGAACAGTCGGCTCGATGAGAAGCGGACACCACCAAAGAGAGGCAATGCAAAAATCATCAGCGCTTAGTGTTTTTCCCAAGCTTGTAAGCAGCATCACTGTCATCAGACTTATGAGATTTATTGCCAAGTTGACGAGCGTGCATGCTCCTGACGTGGGCATAGGTGATGCGGGATACTTGCTGATGAGTGAAGAGCAGAAAACGAGCCCAAAGCAGGATGGCTGACTTTGCAGTCCCGAGTCGCCGAGCGGACACGCACCTGAGACCGGCACCACAAAGCTACTAATGCTGCCAGTCCCATGGACTCTCCATCAGCCGCTTCACGTGGCAAATGAGCCACCTCAGCTCTCCCACGTTTGAGCCAATTTTGTGACGGCAAGTGACCTGAACCACTTTAAGCCTTTGAAAACAGAGATATAACGAGTGGCACAGAAGATCTCTAGTGGAGTGAAAAGGGGGTCAGTGTCATTTAGTAGGCAAAATCCCAGCTCTAGCATCGAAGCCAGTGCTGAACCTCTTACTGACTGACTACTGTGAGGCCAGGATTTTTATTCACAACATGGAAGACAAAATAAACGGCACTACAATCATTAAATTTACAGCTTACAATAAACAAGGAGTTATTCCAAGTAACAGTGAGAGAAGAGAAATAATATAAAGGCCCCAGAGATGGTAAAAATACGGGTAGGAAATGAAATCATATTAATTGTATAGGAGCTAGGACTTCTAGAGTGAAACAACCCCCAACGCAGTTATTTAGTGACAAGGAAAAGCAGTAGAAGTGAAGACAGTTTCAGGTGAGCTTACTGCAACACAGCAGGTGTCAACTTATAATGTGACCTAGTGGCAAAAAAAAAAAAAAATTTGGGGGGGCTATATGAGAAGAGGCATGTCAGAGCATGCCGAGGCGATATTCCCTTTCCTACCCAGCTCTAACGTGACCCCAGGTGGAGGAGCGTTTAGGGATGGCTCTAGGACTGCTGAGAGACCTCAGAAATAAACACCAGAAACCTGGAGGATCAAATGTGAGCAACACGATGGCACACGCAGCAGAGAACCACCCTAGGACAACTGACAGGAGAAAAAGGGACAAAATCCTCTTGACAGATCTTTTCTTATGTCTAATTGTTTCTAATTTCCATCGTAAAACAAAAGGATTATGCCTTACTACCGCTAATGAGAACAGAAACAGATGCAGCAGACAAGATATATTCTACAAGAGATATTAATCTTTCTGCTTCAAGGCATAAACCCAACACTAATTGATGGTTTTAGCAAACAAACGCATTCCCCTGAAGACAGGTTATTGTGCACTCATTCATTATAAGCGTTTTTTCACCTTCTTCTGGAGTAGGTGAAGCAGCACCAGTGTAGCCAGCATCCTGGCCCAGACGAGCAGCCGTTCTGATCAACTGCTGCAATTTCTGTGTTATGGATCACAGGAGGGTCGATACAAATACCGACTCAGGGGATTGTATAGAGGAAGGGAATTACCTCCTCCAATGTAGAAAAATCTATGAGCAGGTATCTTTGAAATTATGGGTCAAAACTTACTTTTAGGCCCTTATTCCAACTCCCCCCCGAAAAGCCTCCGTGTGGGCTTCACTCTGGGCTTGGAGCAGTCTTGGGACTAGTTATTAGATGAGACTGGGCAATTGGCTGTGCTGGTATGACTCTGAAGTTGCTTCACTGCAGTCATGACAGCTATTTTTGTTTTACAAAGATCTGACTGAGAGTGAAATTCAATCCACTGTTTAGCACTGCTGTTGAAAAGCTTATACAATAACTGAAAGGTCTTTGGATATTTTTAGCTGCTGTCCCACCCTGCTCTGCACATTAAGAGCAGTCAACTTTTATTTAAAAACAAGCAACCATAAAGCTGTTATTCACTGTATCTAGTCCTTTCACAACCAAATTTGTGTTTTTAATAGAATTACTAATTCAAAGCCATCTCCCTGTAATAAACCAGACCACTTTCATTAAGGTAGCTGTCAGGCAGCAGATGTGAGCACAACTAGCGAAATCTCTTCTCCTCAGTGGGCCTACATAGCTCTCCCTGGCACTGTGCATGGACGTTACAGGCAATCACAGCAGCTCTCTGAAAAACAGGAAGCACAGGATGGAGTAGGGGGAGAGGAATGAATAACTCATAGCAACAGATGGTAACCCTTCCACTCAGGTTAGCTCAAAGTCTGAGAAAAAAGATTTTATTTTTCCCTTCATTGCTCAGGCTTTATTTTTAATATGTGTTCTTTCTTAAGTTTCAAACTTAATATCCTAGACTGACCTCCTGGTTCTTCTGCCTTTCTATCTTTAGAGGGAAGACAATCTGAAAAAAATCCCTTGCCTTTTGCTAGTGCTCTTGTCTTTTTTATTTTGAAATCTTCAATTAAAATGACTGGCACTTCATGAAATTGTCTCTGAGCTGCAAAGCAATTTTGTTTATGCTACTGGGATAGAAAAGGAAGGTGGAGAAACCACATGTGGAAGACTTCAATTTCTTCTGTTTCACATCACTAAGCTTAGAGTTTCCTGGTGAAAAAGGCAATACTGCTCCTTGGATCAAAATCATTGATCAGCTTGAGTGACTTAACATTCCAATATAAAGTCTGCACTGCCCAAATGCTAATTATGAAGCCACTGAGTCAAACCCTGACAAGGCTCCCCTGGCCCTTCATTATTTTAAGGTAGCTAATTTGGAAGTTGTACGATCTATGTGTGTGAGTCTTCCTGCAAGATCTTCAGGAGTGCTGCTTGCTCTGCTCTTCAGGTTGTCCCGTTTCCTGGGATCGATGACATTCAGTCTCATTTGCATCTCCTGTGCAATGTATTATCCAGAAGAGCAAAAAAATCCTGATGGCCTTTACTGTGCCTTATTTAGTCAGTTCTTACCTCTGATTAGCGTATGCAACAGTAGCTCTACCTGAAGCTGTGCAAGCTCTGCGGGGGCTCACGCAGGAACATGGGAACTGCCATATGAGATCAAATCAGTGGTCTATCAAGATCCCAACCCCGTCTAGCTGTGACCAGTGCCAGATGTTTCCAAAGGAAGCATACAGCTCCAATGTGCTCACAGCTACATTTGTTTTTTAACCCAAAGCAGTCAGTGAAGTAAATCCTGAAGTTTGAGGGTTTATACTCAACACAGTTTTTAATCCTTGATCATGCTAAGACCTATGCTTTTCCAACTTCTCACGCAAATAGGCTCTTGCAGGGTGCTGGTCACAACAACATGTTTATTTTGTAGGCAGATCCACAGTTCAGGTGGGGACCCCATCCTGCAAGCCCCAGTGACACTGCCCCAGACTAAGGGGGACAGCATCTGATCACCAGCAGCAGATATTAGCTCTGATGGAGTCCATGAGCTTCAGCCAGAAACCTGTCTGATAGCTGTGGGATATTCTCATAGGCTTGTCATTTTTTCAGTTATAAATATGCATATATATACAGCTTTTCCCCACTGTAGCCACTCTATAAAGCACATGAACCTCTCCATGAGGTCAACACAAACCTCTCACAGCAGCCAAGGGATCAGTGCCTGGTAGCTGCTTGCAATCCCTGCTGTCCCAAATAACAGGAAGAACGAAGATGAGCTTGCAGTGCAGAGGCAGAAAAAACAGCCTGCTGGACTATTTGTTTAGGAAAAGAGAAAAACCGCTGTGCCATGAGCACACTAACACACTTACAGAGAACAACTACCTCAAAGTGGCATTTACCGCAAGCCATCAGAACCCCAATTCACTGCAGAAGCATAATGCTTTCAGAGTGACCCTCCCGCTCTCCCATACTTTGATAGATATGAAAGGGAATAAATAGAGTGTCTCAGAAAGCTCTCATAACCAATCTGCAAGACAACACAAAGACTGTTATTACTGCACTGTGAAGTCTCTTACATTTCTGCTACTACAGGTTTCGGAGACTAACTGGGGAAACGGATTTAGGAAAACAAAGGAAGAAAAAGAAAAGGGGAATTTGTAAGACGCCAAGGGATAACTGACTTCCTGTTTCAGGTGGACTGCTCAGAAGTTGCTTCATCTTTCTACAAACCAAGTATGAGTTTAATTGTAAGCTGCTATAGATATGCTTCCAAGCACGTGATCTGTGATGGTGAAACACTCTGTTGCTATAGTGGTTCTACTTACGGTAAGGCTGCAAGGACCAAATTCTTGTCTCAGTGGTGTTCGTATATAAAGAAACAGAGTTTGGCTCCATTTTCCATTATAAATCCCATTTGATGGTTTTGTAGTTGTGCACTTCCAAACTACATCAGTTGTTAATGCCCTAAAGGACTTTTCAACCCCTATATATTTACATAGCGCACATCAAGATAAATTCAGGGTCTCACAGGGTTTATTGAACACACACCAATTACTGCTTTGCCCCAGAAGTGAATGCCTGCAGCTAGTCCAGTCCTTACTGTGGACCATCATTCTCTGCTGCTCTGCTGAGTGCTGCAAGAGTACGGTAACAGATTTAAAACAGTTACACCATACACTAACTTGTAGTACCCATATGACTCCAATTATATTAAGCAATAGCTGTTGTCCATACAGTGAGAAAGAGGCAGCTTTAACCAAACTGCAGTTCTGCTGCAGAAAGTGAAGTGTTTAGTAACAGTCCCGCAGCAGGAGACTAGTACAGCTGGGTGCCATTTAGCCCTTTTTTTGTTCCTGGGCAACTGGGGGAAGGGAGCACCTAGCAGGTGAGGAGGTTATAGCCTTCCAGTGATGAGGCCCTTTTTGGTGAATAATCAGTTCGGAGTGATCTAGACAATATCTGAAGAGCTCCATTTTAAATGTCACAGAAGTGGCTGGTTTTCGTGAGCGTGAAAAGCCTGGTATTCTGGAGAGGGGCTGAAACAGCTTCATAACTCAAATAAGCAATTGCATTAGCCGTTATTTCTCTGCCTTAGCAGGAATCTCACTTGACACCATCTCACTTCTGCCACCCGGGCTTGGCAGTGGGGCCTGGCGAGCAGCACCCAGCCTCCTGCCAGCAGCTCAGCGGCCATCCGTGGGGAGCAGATGGGGCCTGTTCTCTTGGGAAGTGACCGCCACCATGGTGTGAGCAGCTCTGCTGCCCCTACGGCTAAGCCCTAGCTCACCGTTCTCCTCTCCCAGGGAAAGAAATCATTTTACCAAACCTTCACTGCCGGTGGGCGTTTGTGCCTTTCCCTGCCCTCCTGCAGATATATTTCAGCATATCACTCTGTCTGGCAGAAGGCACAACCCCAAGCTTGCTTTCCCCGCTACAGGTTAACCTGCTCTTCTATCCCCTGCGTGACCTGCTGAGGAACTGCTATCACAAAGCGCACAGAGGAGACAGTGGTCCTGGAAGGAAACAAATCCAAGACTAGCATGCGATTTTGTTTGTCTACCATTGCATGAAGAAGGAGGCAAGGCTTCCCTCCATAACTGACTGGAAAGAAACTAATTGCACACACAGCTCCTCCTAGAAACTAAATAAAAAGAATTTTGGAGGAATGAGGTATTTAAAGAAGGGAGATTTAAAAGGGAGTAGAATAACAGGGGAGGTCCTACGATTTCAGTTGAATTTTCCCTCTGTAGGAAACAGTCCTTTTTCAATGCCATTTGTAAGTGTCTTTAAAAGACAGCCAAAAGTAATAGGAATACAATCAATATTAGATATGAACGAAGACACTTTCTCTGTAGCTGCAATTAGCTATTTTCAAAGAGCAGGCCATGAATAATGTATGCAAAAGGGTGGGAGGGTTACTTATTTTTTCTTTAAGCAGATTATTTTAGCATGGGTGAAAGACTACCAAGCTCAAGAACAGTGCCCGATATCATGCAGTGTATAAACAGCTGTGGCTTAGTGCATAATAAAAGCCATTAAGGGGCTGAGCCAAAAAATGTATCTAGCTATGAGGAGGGGAAAGAGGCACAGCACCGTGTAATGATTGCTTAGTTTCACATTTGCCATTCAGCCTTTGTGCACAGGAGTCCATTCTGAAAACTAAGATTTCTCCTTTCTCTTCATTAAGTTTTCTTAAGCTGCTGCAAGTGTTATCTTGGCCTTTTGGAAATGCTCTTATGCCAAGGCTGTCTGATCACTTAACAGACATTAAGACCTAGAATAAGAATTGGCCATACATGCAGATACAGGTGAGCAAGAAGAATGGGGATCATGTTAATATGCAGACTTGGTTTTGGGTGGCCCTTGCCTTTTGTGCCTTAGGGTAAGTAGGACAACTTGCTTGCTTATTCCCACCTTGGAGCAAGGAGGGGTGGACAAAAGCAAAAGCTTTGGCTCTATCCTCTTCACTTCATGGACTGGCCATGCCCATGAAGGCTAAAATAAAAATTCACTTTCATTATAATGGGAGAGGAGATTCTACAAGTCATAAATGGTCCTTAGGCACCTAAATCTCACTCGCTTTCCATGATAGTTATGAGCCTGAAAGTCACTTGTGCTCCAGAGAGCAGAGCCGCAGCTGGATACCCCATAGGTTGCGTTTTGGGGGAAGATCTGTAATACTTCTGTGCAACAGGGTCATGAGCAGCTACAGACAATGACCAAATCATAGCAGTTCATCTCAGCCCGACCTAAAAACAGTAGGAAACTGCAATGACCCTGAAAAGGCTGCACGCCACAACTGAGCTTTGGATTGCCCTGATGAGCAATACTGCAGCTGGCTCCTGTGCCTCCCACCCACCGCTGGCACTTGGGCCACATGCAGCCCCCCTGTCTCTCTGCTGAGCTGATTTGTCACCTTGCTCCTCCGCTGCCGTGTCCTTTGCGGCACAAGCCTTTATTGAGAGATTACCTCACACTTTCTCTGCTGCATCAAGCTCTTGCTGGCATATTTTTCTCACTTCTGGCTTTGATTCAGCATCCCCCTGGCTTGAGAGTTTGCTGCAGAATGCAACTCTTTGTTAAAAAAGCAAAAGTCTGAGTTGGTTTTGTGGCCAAGTTTATCCGTGGCTTTGCTCCCATTTACCTCAAAGTCAAGCAAACAGCCTCAACACAGTTGGCTTCGCATAAGCATATTATCACAGGTTTTTAGTTAATAGATTTTTCCCCATACCTTCTTCCCCCCAGCTAATGCACAAGCAAATAAATGCAGTCTTTTACCTCATGTTCTCCTTCCTGTGAACTGTCACATACATTTCATAGACTCTCCCTTGGGGAACGGCCCCTGCTGGGATCAGCAAGCTTACTCCTGCAGAATAGAAGAGACACAAAAAATAAAGCAGAGAAAAAAAGACAACTGGACCTGTGACAAAGAGTGACAGGAGAAGATGAAGGTTAGGATGCCAGTTTTTCCCCCAGCCTCTCAGGATAACTCTAAAAGACTGTGGTAACTCAAGAGAAAGAGTATTTACTGCAAGCCTGGCTTCCCTGACTGTCAGCTGGTCAGTTCTTATTCCCCTTGTGCATCTGCACTGAAATACTGGACCGGAGAAGAGGGCTTGCTTTCCCTCTTTTTTATTTTATTCAAAGAGTGGACATATGGTTACACTGCTGCTTACCTTGTAAAATAAGGGGAAAAAAACCAATTCTGACTAAAATCTCTCACAGCTGTAATGGGACATCTCTCTCTAGGCATTTCCTATTTAATTAAACACAGGAAAGAAAGCCAGAGGAATACTGTCCCAGGAAATAACAAGAATCAGTTGTTTCCTGAAAGATGGGTTCTGCGATTGGCAACTTGTCTTTTAATGCACTCAGTTTCTAATTAGACTCTTGGTGAGACAGAAGTGGGCTTCCTGGCATCTTGAATACGCCCAGTCTTGTAGAGTGACTCAAAATTTGGCCATCCAACCTCAAAAAAGTTTGGGCAAACGTGCTCTGTGCCCTTCGCAGTGACAATTAGCTGCACGCTTGACTACAAAGCACTGTTCTAATGTTACTGCAATTTCAGAAATCGAGCAAGCGACTTCCTGCAAAACAGAGGGTGCTCTTTTTACATGATAAACATGGCCCAAGGACTCAGCCTTTCCCACTTCTTGGCCAGTCTTGGCCAGCTGTCTTTGCAGATGTGAATTAACTGGAAATTAGCGGCAGGGATTTTAATTCCTGCACATAACTATTAATATACAGCTGAAAACAAACCTACGGGAAGAATATTTACATTAATGCATGTGCACATATGTACAACAGAGGCTTCATAAAAAGATACTTTGCATGGCGCTGCCCCCTTCTCTTTCCATACGTGGCTGGGTTACTCTGGAAACCTCTGCTCTCTCTGGACAACAGCTGCTCGAGTATGACTAATGGGTGTACGGGTGTGCTGGTGTACTGAGGCTCAGTCCCATACCCTGGTTAGAAGGAGAGGGATCAGCATTTTCCATGAATGCCATCTGACTCCCTATTTTGTTTACTTGCAGGCCTGTTACAACTTCACCTATGCATGTTCTCAGCTGTAACGTGCAGGTTTGGTGTAAATGAAGGACTTTGATCATATTCTTTGGAGGAGGATATATATATGTATATATATGTGTGTGTGTGTGTGGTGTGTGCGTGTATATGACTAGAAGCAGCATGGAGGCATCCACACTAGCTGCAGACAGATTGATATATCTTACAAAGCTTGTTTCAGTCATTTTGAAGGGATCACAGCAATAAATAAGCACTTTACAAATTTATACTATATGCTATGTGAATTAAATATGACTAATCGACTTCGCTGACAAAATGCACCGCCATGGCTAAGAAACCTGAATGTTAATATCTACCTTTAGATGCTAATTAGAGAAATGTGAAATCCAGGATTGTATAGAATGAGTTTTCAACATTGCTCAATAATCAGTACCAGATTTCTTTAAGCAGCTCAGCTTTCACTTAGGCTCTTAAATTAAAAAGACGTTTTTTCCCTACTGTTTCATAGTAGCTCAGAGAGGAGGGCTACTGCTTATGGACCACTTCTGGCTTGTTCCTGTGCAGTGTGGAGCTGGGTCCTGGAAGAACTAAACTGGTCCAGGTAGGACAGTGCCATAAAACGGTCAAGTGCCGACCCTAGATGTGAAAAGGGGAGGCAGAAAAGCTGTGAGACCTTGAGCTACAGTGTCACGTAGTTGTGAGCTGTGGTCTTGCATGGACTGTGATCTTTTCTGGACCCAGACGACTAAAGAAACAGGGCTGAGGGGACCCCGATCGTTGTGTATTGGGGGGGAGGGGGGGCTGCACATCCAGCAGATTAAGTGTTTCATGCATCTGATTCCCTCAGCTAGGAGATGTAAACGCTACCTCAACCCTGTCCACTGGAAAGGGATTGTATCTGCCTAACGCAACACGCGTTATATACAAATAAAGCCATGAGCTGCCACTTCGACCTCTTTTCAGATGATGTTGTTGCTCTTTATTAGCGTGCCCAAACCCATGGGAACATGTAGGTGCTGAACTCTCTTTGAATGTGGATACTACAATTAGGATACAAACAGGAGTAGGGGGTCTTCTAAAAAATTTGGCTGTGGGAGCTGAACTCTTGTAAGGCTGCCTGGGAGCAACATGGCTGCGCTGAAACTGCCTCCTGCTGCCTGGTTAGCCTGAAGGAGACCCAACTGCCTGACCTTGTAGCGTATGAGGAGACTGACCTGCAGTTTGCATATATATCAAAAGGCATCTGATGCTGGGTTCTCCCCTTTCCTAATTGTAAAATATCAGCAATATTTATAACATGGAGTGAAATATAAAAAAGACACCCTTGGGCCATATTTTCCTGTAGTTTGCAATGTAGGCAGGAAAAAGTCTTCTGAAAATTAGTATTCCAGTGTCTTACTTCAATATCACACAGTCTGCAATGAATTGGAAGCGGAACAACCAATTTGTTTTTTAATTAATTTGTCCTTTTTATGTCTGATGACAAGATGAAGGCTTTCTGTCTTGAAGTCCCTTTTCTAGAGCTGCATGAAAGGAAAAGGTCAAGGATGCTGAATCTCAATTCACACAGGCAAGTTCTGAAATCTAACGTATCTGGGAAGGTGGCTAAGAGCCCTGCAATATTCAGTTAAAAAGCCAGGATTCTGGGAAAGGGATATGTGAAATTGCTGAGCAGACCTGAATTGGGGGGAGAAAATCTTTGGTCTGAAAAAAGAAAGGCAGAGTCCAAGGTGTGACCCTGTTTTTTTCCTGCATAAAAGAAAAGAAAGCTAACTCCACTTAAAACCACAAAACAATTGCGCCTTTAAGCCAACCCGGCTGGTCCTTACCTGAATTGGGAATTATTAGGTGGCCCCCCAAGGAGTTGAAGGTCCCAAACGCAGTGCAAGATGGGTCTGTTTGTCGAGCAAGGCTCTGGTTCTTCATGTTCAGGGTCTCGTTCTCCAGCAGGGACTGGGTAATCTGCGGGGACAGCTTGGAGGAGAAGTCAGAGAGTTCATCCTGGGGGGTGACGGCACCAGAGGTATTATAGACCTTGATCTTCAGGTTGGGCAGTGGATCCAGGATTGGAGAATTGGTCATTGGGATTTTATCAGAGACATCGTGCAAGGCGTAAACAGGACCCCTGTACATGGCTGCAGCAGAAGTGAGGTCTGGTGGCACTGCCAGGAGGTCTGCATTGGAAATGAGAAGGCATAACCTTATTACTTGTGTTTTTTCCCCTATTCTGATGACTTTCTTCTGAGTAAAGATTTATTTTTTGCATTCAGTTTATATTCATACCAAAGGTTAAGAAAGCAAAGTCCTTGCAGACTCATCTCCATCTCCTTTTCTATGCATCTACCCAGCTATCTCCCAGGGCACTGCACAGCCCCAACCACTATGGAATTTAATTGTAATACAAAATTAAAGGACATTGCTCTAAGGATTTTTCACTGGAATTATTTTCCAGGCTGCGCTCAGATTTCAAGTATGACATACTTAGCTTCAGGGGAAGATGTTTTCCACGCTCAGTACATCTAGTTTTATTAACTAGTGCTCCCTCCCTAAATGCTAAGTGAGAATCATTAAACAATTTATTTAACTGGCCTAAAGGTAGAATTCCTGGAATAAAAGATACAGCAAATCTATGAAGTCATCTTGTCCATGACTCTCAGCTGGTCTGCGGTTATGACCTGCATTACACCTTCTGGAGTTTTAAAAATATGCTCAACAAACAAAACAGTGCTTCTGCTAATCATCCATGTTGCCAGCTCCTTTGTCATCTTGACTCTTATTTTGATTTCTTTGTCATGCACACGAGTTGGGAAAAAAACAAAAAAAAAGTCAGTCCTACCTTTTAAGTGTCTGCTTTCTGGCCAGTGAGGTGCGAAAATAATCACACTATACACTAGTGGTAAAAATGCTCATCATTAAATTATGTTCTACTGCAACTTCTGTTACACTGTCTATTGAAAGTACAGTATTCTCACACTACTATTTATGCTTGTGGAGACAGGGCACAGTAAAAAATGCTATTAGTGCAACAAAGGGGAGGAACACGCTATAGAACTATTATAATAGCAGTCCTGTGACGAATCCTGCCTCTGTTGTTTCAGTTATAGCTTTGCCTTTGATTTAAATTTGAACAGGACCTATATTTTCGTAAATGTTTTTGTGTTTCAGTTTCTCATTCACGTTATCTCTTCAGAACTTAGATTCCTCTGCTTTATGCTCTTGAGCACAACTGCAAAAAGCCAGCATGAGTTTTTAGCCCTTGACCATCAGAAGCAAATGGATATAATCTTTCTCCCTTTCACCAAGTGTCAGCAAGCATCCAATGAATACCATTCCTACAGCCCAAGAGACCATGTCCTTATTGCATCTCCCTGAATTGGTCAACATGGAGGGAAATGACAACTAACCTTGTCTCGCGGCCTTGATGTTGACAGGCTGAAAGCCACCATTTAGCGCTGAGGAGTCGATAATATCTGACTCAAAGTCACGGTGGTTCTTGCGATAGACAAACAGGGCCACAATCACAGAAATAGCCAGGCACACGATCACGGCTATCACGATCCCAACGTAGAGAGCAACATCATCCGAGTCGGGGGCAGCTGCAGGGAGAGAGGACGGGAACCTTGAAGAAATGCATCTCATCGCAGGGACTTTCAAGAAAATACATCCTTATTATTCTCATTTCCTGCAGATATTTACTACCTTTTTTATAGGCTAATTTAAAATCCATTTCCAAAGCTATATAACAGGTCTGTGCCCTTTTGGTGGAAAATGATCTTCGATTTCTCTCTAACCTCTGCTCTAATTCTTCACCTCTCTGCTTGTCCATCTATCTAGGACCCCAGCAACTGATTACTAAGCATAATGTGCACTTACATAATTAGTCTGATGAAGCACATTCGCCAGCTGGAATAAAATTGTATGTCATGGTGACTGTTCACATTTAGTGGTTCATCTGGTAACAAAAACTGTGTTGCTGGTTTTTAAACTTCATGACCCTTAATTTTTAATAAAGAAACAACCAATCAAAAAAATCTGAAAAATCCATTTGCTGTGGAATGCCTGGAATATCTGAACATATCTTCTGAGTTTGTATTTTTTGAACTAAAATATGTCAAGCTATTTTTCCCTTCCATACATTTTGCATTTGAAAAAAATTCTAACAAAACACTGAATTGTCACCACTGGCAATAACACATATGTATTTGGATACAAGCCGAAGCAAGCACAAGAAGTAACGTGGTAATTTACCAAAAGGAACCCAGATTTATTATAGCTGTCTTGTGAGAAAACGGCTATGGTATTTCTACTATCTGCTTATACCACATCTTCAGCACTAATTCCAGGCTAATCTCTAGCATCATTATCCACTAGATTTTTTTCCCCAAAAGGTCTGAATATATGATCAAAATTTGATGTCTTTCCGTACAGTGAAGAATCCTGGTATTAGAGAGAATGTAATAAAAAAAGAAATGGCAAAAACAAATCAGATCTCTACTATCCCATTTTTGTTAATTTAAAACATGTGAAATCATTTTTTATTTTTTGCTCCATGCTTTTCAGCTGTTTAAGCGAGCCTGCCCTCTAGCCATATAGGTGAGAGATGGCAGATGTCGCAAAGGACAGATCAACCTCTATAAGCTCCTGGTACTTTCAACGTACCAATCTCGAAATGTTACACTTTTTTCCTAGCAGTTTAGGAAGTGATCTCTGAGTACCAGCTTAAAAAAAAGTTTTCCCTCCACCACATTTCTCCCTTTTGTTAAGGAAATGTTAATAAGAAGAAGGTTCAGCCGGTTTCTATCTTTCAGGCAATCTCTTCTCCCATTTCCCTTGCACATAAGGGCTGTTATCATTCTGCGTCAGCCTGCTGACAGTGAAACGCTGCTACTGCTGTCAAGCAAGCAGCATGCAACTTAACTCTGCTGAATACCTCCCTCTCTGCCTAAACACATAGAGCTGGGGTAATGGTAAAGCTTGACCCAAGGAACAGCGTCAGAATTAGCATCCAGGAACATAAAATCAAACATCAAACTTACAAGAAAATCCATATTCATTCTGGGTTCTCTGTTCAGTTGAAATGGGATAAATGAAACCTTAAAAAGAAAGAAATTAAACAAAAATGGGAAGAAAATCAAATTAATGAGGAGAACAAAAAAAGGAAGCATGAAAAATGGTTTAATTAAAAAAAAAGAAGGAAAAGAAACTGATGGCACTTTAAAATTCTGATACAGCATAGAAATATGATTTTGCATCCCCTGTCTCCTCCAGAGCCTTACTAAGAATTAATAAGTAGGCAGATTGAATTTCTGAGCCAAAATCGGTCTCGAGTCACTAACTTTGGAGTGCTTAAAGTCTTTCTTTTATTGAGCATAAACTGTAATGGATCTAATTTATTTCAGACATCAAGGGTCATTAGCATATGGAAAGTCTTTTTTCCCTATCCCTGCCATATGCTTTAATTCCCAGGACATGTTCAGTAGGGCTCTAAACAGTTTTTTTATTTAATTATGGTAGCTTGCTGTTGATCTAATAGAGCTAAAGGAGACCTGTCGTCACCGGTCAGAGGTTAAATACCCATTTGCTGAGCAGAGTCCATGCAGAAAGCCCTCTTTTTAAATTTCCTTGGAATTATTTTATCCTGTCTTTAATACATGTTCAATAGGAATTCCTCAGGGAGCAAGGGATTTGTCAGCAAACTGGAAACTGAGTAGCTTCTCTCTGAAATTATTAAAAAATCAATAAGCCCCCTGCGGTCATAATGTTATTTATTTTAAATCTTTGCAAGCACCTTATATCGACCAAATCATGACACAATTTATGGTTGTATTTTGGAATGGATAAAGAATAGAGACTATTTTTTTGAGGCTTTTCTCCCTGTGGCTCCTCCAGCACGGCACACTCGCCCGGATCAGCGTGCCCAACTGTCCTACGAGCACACTGAGTATCTCCCAGCTGCCAGTCATCGATATGGGCAATAAGTTAAATGCTCCAAGTCTCATCCTGTGGGAAAGGTAAATGCCGAAGTCAAAGTAATGGGAGGAGTCGCTGCTGTGGATGGGGCAACCCACAGACCATGAAGGGTCACCCTGGTCTCCGCTTGCCCTGCCTTGGGCACGTTGAGGAGCTCCCTCAGTGAAGGCACCGGATTCCCTTAGGGTGAGACAAAACTGGAAAATGCACTGCAGGAGTGTGCCTGAAGTGCAGGACCAGATTAGAGGCAAAATCCCCCCCGCCACAAAAAGTGCTGAGATTGGGTGCTCAGCATCTGCTGTGCTGCTCTGCATAGCTTTTCCTGCTTGGTTGCACCACTTGCTAATGAAGATGCAGGCAATTCCAATTGCTGGTATAGCCTACTCTTCCCCTCCGCCCAGTTTCCAGACATTAACCAGCACGTAAATGTTGCCTTAACTGAACTGCTAGAGCAAGAGAAGCTTCTTTTTGATGATGGAGATGTTTTTTCTGAGGCACCCTGGGACAGACCATATTTAAAACTTTATTTCACAGTAATGATTCCAGCCTTACAGTCATTTTTAGAAATATTGTGTTCGCACATTCGTTTATTTGGTTCTTTGAGGCAGGTTTACCTATGCCTACTTTTAACATGCCCACTCAACCTTTAGTAATACCTGCTTTCCACTTCTACCAGGGCATGCCAGGCTTTGGCTGTAAAAAGTCAAGCAAGCAACTTCCGGGGGGCTGAGTGAGCACTTGGCACATCTGGGCAAGGATTCACAGCACGCTCATTACGTTCCACTTCCTCCCCATTTTTAGTCAACCTAAAATCAAGCTATAAGCCCATGCCTGACATTTCCTATGACGAGGTGTCTCTGGAGACCAAGAGCCAGCGAGCAGGGATTCAAGGCAGCAGGACTGGGTGAGTCTCCAAATGCCTTTTTGCCTTGTACCCAAATCCACTCTGAAAGCCACACTTCGTGTGTCCCAAGTGCATTCGTGGGGGAGCCAGCACGGGGCAGCGCTTGTCCCTGGCCCTGCACCACCTGGGGAGCTCTCGCTTTTCCCTGCAGAACTGTAAAAGCTATTCCTCTTTTCTTACTTTTGTCAGCTGGCAAGTTTTCCGTTCAGGGTGGTGTCTCATTCCTGCCGTGTCTGAAGCGATCCAGCAGCCGCCACTCAAAGAGTACAAAGAATGACACGGCCTGGATTATTTTTGCTATTACTGAGATTGTGTTCTCTGTTGCAGGGAAAATGAAAAGCCAAATGCAAGTCTTCTCAGCAAAGTAAACAAGTGTCATCTTCAAATACTCTGAAAGAAATGAACTTCATTGCAATCTCTTCACAGGCCCTACTTGTCGCGAATACTTATTTGCATCTTACAATTTTACAGAGATTCTCTTCTTGATAGCTACAGAGTATCTTTGCAGCTACATACGAATGACACAATTTTCTTCAACAGAAATCCTTTGTGTACGATATTCAAAGGCACGTCTATTTAAATGTGAGGAAAAGGTGGGAATATTGCTTGTTGCTCCCATTAGCCTTGCAAACCAACACGCTTAGCAAAGTGAGCTTGATTTTACTCTCCCGTGTGTGCCACTCACTGAATCAAGCACTAAGTTCCAGCCAACTCTTTCAGTGCAAACCAGCTTGCACAGGTGTTCGTAAGTACACGTTTTTAGCCTGAAAAACACATGTTCTGTACAGATACATATAACAAAGGCATAGCTGAATTGGAAGGGTTAAGGGCTCCTGTGTGAGATGCTGCATTCGAGTCACGGGCACGTCAATTTTTTGCCAACCGTCAAGAGTCATGGCTGGCCAACCTGGCTGTAGGCGGATACAAGGCTGCCCAGGCTGGAGGCTCAACAGTGCCAGAAGTAAATTTTTAGCCGCTTGCTACGAAAGTGAGGCTGTGGTGGCCATGAGAGAGTGAGATTTTTTAGAATAAAACTACTTTTAAAAAATTCCTTATCATGAAAGAGCTCTGCGGAAACAGAGCAGGCATGGCAAAGGCAGCAATAAGAGGAGCCTTGCGAGGCAGGTGCCGCTGGCAGCGGCTGTGCAGGAGGTAAGGTTATTGCCATACTCCCAGCAGAAGAGCACAGGTATTACTTTTGGAAGTGGGCTTTCATGCTGTTCCCTCTGACTATGCCTTCAAACAATGAGAAAGGATATTTTCTTCAGATAATGAGGCAAACCTGCTGAGATGAGTACCTCAAATAATGAAGAATGACTTCCCTTCTTTCTTCAAAGTAACCACATTGAAAAAGAGATCTTTTCTTGTTTCCTTTTTTTCCCTTCCCATATCAACAGCACTGCTTGGCAAGTACCTGGGGGACTTCTACAATGAATGATCCTTCTACAAGGATCATCACAATTTTTAACGAGGGTGAATTTAGAAAGGTGCGGTTGGATTCAACTCCACGAAGGCTGCTGAGGCTGCTGACTCACGCATGGAGCAGCTGGTTTCACAGTGAGCAACTTGCTTTGAGAAAAGTAATTTAAGCTTCTTCCTACAACTTGTTGGGAATGTACATTTTCAAAGGGGCTTTTGATGTTTTGTTGTTGCTGGAGCAGTAAAATAGTAATAATCATACTTTATACTTGCATAGTTCCTTCTGTTTGAGGATCTCAGAGGCCTAGCAAAAGCGGCCTCATTTTACAAGTACCTTGACCTAAGATGTACCTGGACAATCACTCAGAGGCTTGAGCTGTTCACAGAAATGACATCACTGTCATTACACAGTAAATGCATTCATTAAAAAGCCTTTAAGTAAGCTGATGTTTCTCCATGTGTTCTACTTTATATTCTACTTCAGGCTTGTAAATATGTTTTTTGTCCCTGTGAAAGTGCCTCCTCTAAGTGTTGAAGGTGGGCCTTTTTAATTAAAGTAGTAACAGCGGCACAAATCCTTTGTATAAACGCAGATATAGCATTATAAAAGTGCATTAGATAGGCATTGCCTATTCCCTCCCTATAAAGAAATATCTAGAACAATTTAAACATCTCTATACTGATGTAACATGCTGGGAAGAAAAATGGAGATTTGCCATATCATACTGGAAAAATTAAAAGAATGCAACTTTGGTGTACAGAAAAGACTTCAGCAGGCTTTTGACCAATTTAGTCTAACTCAGTTTCAGCACCAGGTGCACTTGCACTGATTTGGGGAATTGTGTCCATTTAACTATATTGCTTTTGAAGCTTATCTAATTAATTTAGAGCAGTTTGTGAGCGTAGATGAACCCTGAACATTAGAAGTCCAGTTTGAGCATGCCAGTGTTACACGTCTTGCTCTGACCTTCTGGGAGGGAATTAAGCATGGGGGAATGGAAAATATGAGACCTGTGAAAGATAATTGTGCAGAGATTATGGCGCTGACTCCCTTGATCCTTTCTGAAACTGAAACGAGTTGATAGTCACCAAAGTTACTTTTCTAAAGTCTTTTCTGCCTAGCTGTTATTAGGGGGAAAATCTACCTCTTGACACATTCCTAGGCACATCTACACACATACAGACTGCTCAACCTGGGACCTCAGTATCATGACCATTTAGAAGGATGGGCATCCTGAAATCCTGTGTTTGATTTTACCTAGAAAGTCATGGGAACATACTGCCCTAGCCTAGGAACTGGCTTATTTAAGAGAAAACTTCTTTTCTCCCTGTGGGGTAAAATACAAGATCTCTGGCAGGGCTTCCTGCAGAGGGAACTCTGTAATAGGCTCCACTTTTTGGTCCTTAGCAGATTTTGCTAGCTTTCTGGGCATGCTGAATTGGTATTAATGCATAGTAATTTTAGTGTGAATTAATCAGCTTATGAAAACATTTTACTTTGTTGCTTGCAGAAAATAAAATATTTACATAAAAAAGAAGAAAAAGTTTTCACATTTTCCATTCGCATTTTCCTTTGCTGCCTGTGTAACTACTTTCCCTCTTTTCCCTGCAGGTAACTGCGTGGGTAGAGTAGTTGAAGGTGATCTTTTTGGCACTTAATTACTGCGCCCATTCAATTTTGGTTATATTTACAAAAATACTTACAAATACTCTGTAAAGAAATTGCTTTATGCCATTATCTGCTGAGGTCACTGTTAATGGTATGTATTTTGAGACTATATAAAGATTAGGAAGAGTTTG